ACTACGACTACGACTACGACTACGACTACGACTACGACTACGACTACGACTACGACTACGATGACGACGACGACGATGACATGGTAAAAGCAGCAAAGATAATGTATCGATTACAATAGTAAAGAAAAATTGTTACGTGTATATCAGTTAGTAAGCGAGAAGGATCACGACGACCGATGGAAATACGATTTTGCCTTCTTCTTCGAGTTTTCTTTCGTTCACCGTGTAAAAATTTGTATAGGTTCAAATTGGAGTAAGTTAGATCGTAGGGTTGTGTGTCTCGACCGAAGGCACAACATTGAATCTCGTGAAAACGATAGAACGAGATTGTTACAGCATGACTATGTACGCGTATAGTCATGTGGCGAACGAAATTCAGAACTTGTATCTCATTCGATGATCCGTTAAACGCGGACAAAAATTAAGGCTGTGAATCACGAATTTAGGACGCAGGATTTTCGAGATCCGTGTGATATCGCGATTGTAAAATCATATCCAAAGACTTTGTAATGCGAATAGTGGAACGCTGACGAAGCTTCGACAAGATATAAGCCTTACTTTTTCTATTATATTGCATTTCCCTTCCACGCTTCTCACTCGAAGAATTTCCAATTGCAACGAGAAATAAGCATCTTGTCAATGTTTCGACCATGTTCCCTATTAAGGAAGTTAAGCGTGTGTATCAATATTATTTAATGTTGTTCTCTTTTCTTACGATTAAAGCTGTTGTTTCTCGATTTGAGCGTATTTACATCCTTTTTCCGACACGCCCTTTCCCAACCACATAAACGGAGCGTGTTTGGAAAAATACCCCCGTGCGAAACCGACTGCTTCGACGCTTCGACGCTTCGACCACCCTTCGACGCTTCGATGCTTCGACGCTTCAACGGACCCGGTAAGAACCCAGCTACATTCGGACAAGGCGCAACGATAACTTGGCACGGCTCGACGAAACGACACAGTTGCGTAAGCTCGATTCGCCTGACTCTTCCCGCACCAATCACATGCTTTCTTCGTACATACGAAGTATCGTACATACTGCCTGTTTCACTTGTTTCATCAATACCGGGGACCAACCCGACCGTGTTCCGATTTGCCTATACAGGATTATCCGACTTGAACAAATGACCAAAGTACAGTGACCGACTAGACGATTCGTAATACTACTATCATTTTCAACGTCACCGTGTTTCTCGAATCGATAGAAAATCAGTAGTACATGGTAGCAACGTGAACCGAATGTGGGAAAGTAGGAATCACGTATCTGGAAAGATTTTGTTAGCGAGCAAAGGGAACGGAAAGAGAAGGAAGTCAATTTGCCTCCAACTACAATAATATAAACAGTCGCAGAATAGATGAAATGAGAAAATATTGTATATTGATAATACCTGTGAATACCGTTGATGATTTGAAGTTACGCGGTACATCATTTTATCAAAGGAACAAAACACATACAAATACGAGTACGAGAGTACGAGTATGAAACACATAGCGAAACACATAAACGATTATCGACGTCTCCTAACGAACATCAACCGATGAGGTTTTGGAACTAGCGTGATGCCGGAATCGCCTTCGAGATCAACGGTTTCGTCCAACGGTACCGATATATCGAACGATCGTAGAATTCTCCCAGCGAAAAGAAATAATATCATTCTGGCTAATTCCTCGCCAACGCACACGCGTTTCCCTGTAAAAGAACGACAAGCAACGAGAGAGAATGCGTGCCACGAACAACTCGGTCCTTCGCTCGGAAAGGAACAAGGAAAAGAAAATTGAAAATAATTACCGCTCTGAAACGGAAGAAACGATTCCGGTTTAAAGAAACTCCCATCCTCCGCCAGAAATCTGTCGGGCCGATATTCGAGAGGATCGCGCCAGTAAATGGGATCGGTATGAATAGCCCACTGCATCGGTACAATCATCGCGCCCCTCGGCACGTCGTATTCGCCTATCCGTGTATCCTGAGACGCGGAATTTTCCGTAGAAAAACACACATCAACTTATTCCCGTTTCATGCACGAGCGTCCGATTGTTCGTTACCTCCAACGTTCCATGAGGAATGCCCAAAGGAGTGACGCTTCGAAGTCGTTGCACTTCGGCCAAGGCAGCTTCGAGGCGCGGCATCGAGGCTCTATCCGCTAAATGCAACCCTTCCCTTTCGTTCGAACAACTCCGATCTATTTCCAGCTGGAGTTTCTTCTAAAAATCTCTCTCTGTTACTCGAAGATGCGCGACACGCGAGCACATACGAGCACGTGTATGTAGCTGGATAGGAGCATATTAGATAGAAGCATACCTGCTCTTCCGGATAGACAGCCATGAAGAGAATAAACCAGCGCAAAGTTGTCAAGGTAGTGTCGGTTCCAGCACCAAACAGGTCAGCCAACAAATGATACAGTTGAGGTTCCGTGTAATAACTAGTCTCCGTAGTATTCTCCCTTCTCATCTGTTCCTCGAACGCAGTCAAAAAGTTTTCAGTTTCCGAAGGTGTTGTCGTAACGCTTCGACTACGATATTCTTCAAGTATGCCGCGATATATTCGATGAGTCCTCTCCTTCCCATCCATAATGGACCGTATCGTTTCGCCGTATCGCGGTAAGAATCTACCAAACGATATCTAATAGCCTGACAAATTGTAGGAGCAAGTCTCGAAGAAACCAGAAGGGTACGGATACCTGAGAAGAGGTAGAAAATTTAATGGTCCAGCGACACCTATATGCTTCACTCCCTCTTCCTGTAAATGCCTCAACCACTTCCAAACTTGATCGTTTTCCTCGTACGTTTTCCCAAAGACGATACTGTTCACAAGATTGCCCATACAGTGATGAAGCGTATCCATCGGATCGAACGGTCCGTTCATCGAACGCTCTTCGAGTTTCTATAAACGTCAGATAAAACATATTCTTTGTGTCGAAAAGGCATCGGACGCCTCGCGATCTATCGTATCTTTTTCCGTTGTTACTACAACAGTTGCTAGTTGCTAGTTGCTAGTTGCTAGTTGCTAGTTGCTAGTTGCTAGTTACTAGACAATTAAATGAATAGTATTCGAACGACTGGTCTTGGTTAGGTCGTCGAAAAGTTGATAAAAATAATAAACACGTTGAAAATACCAATACACATTCGTCCACGGCATTCAAGATTCTTCCCTCCATTTTGTCACGTTTCAAACCATCGTGTTTCACCATACCGAAATTTCTCAAGCAGCTGCTAACGAATTTCCTTTGATCTCTCCAACGATCTCCCTCGGCGCAAACGAGCCCTGCGCAAACAAACATCGAAAGAAAACGAAGAATCAGATTGGCCAAGTGCGCTAATACGGAGAGTTTGTTAAGTGGAGCAACGGTGTACGATATGCACAGCGCGTCGGTAGGCATATTATATTCGAATCTTTGGTTCTTTCGAATATTTCCTCGAATGCTTGCTCGCATATCAAAGAAGATTCTAGTAGAAACTGTTCTACCGCAAACTGTCTAGGTGCGATATCGCACGCTGCGTAGGTATGCACGTTTCTAAAAGCTGACTGAACAAAATTGCCTACGCGGGAAAAGATGAGTACGAGGAAAAGGAACGCGATACGCTTCGCACAAGTGGAAGAATAAATGTGGCCGCTACTCTTACCGTATCCTTGCATAATTCCGTGCGTAAGATACAATGGTGCCCTGCCGGTACACGCATCCTGCGCGAAAGTCTGCTTTATTAGTCGAGGATCCGAGAGGAGGACAGTATAAACGGAACCCATGCGAACTCCACAGACGGGGCCATATCTCCTGACCAGTTCTGTCAGAGATACGTGAGGTTTCTTCGCGTCGATCCATGGAAGATAGCCAACGATTGGAAGTTGCCAAGGGCCAGGAGGTAGACGACGCACCCTCCTCCTCCGACTTCTATCGAAAAGGTACGCGAGGAAAAGGAGAGATACGAAAAACGTTGCGTAAACAAGATTCATCGCAACCACTTGCGCTTCGCTCGGACAAAACGTTCCGGACGGAAGATGAGATTCACGGTCTGCTTCGGTCTACTCCGACCACGTTCCAACTGAAACCAGCCAAAGACAGTGTGTACTCCCGAATGAAAAAATTTAAGCGGGCCGTCCTACCAACGCGAATCCAGGTGTCGATCCGTTGCGCGTCACATCCACTGAAGCACGGATAAGAGTTCTAACAGCGTGCGCGTATTCAGCAGCACGTGTTCTGCTGTTAGCCCGTTTAGCTGTTTGTTCATGCGCAGAATGTTGCACGGCGCGTGGCGAGACACGTATTTTTCACCTTTTCACCTGTAATCGTAACCGATTCGATCTCCTACCGTGTGTTCTGCAATGTATTCGGAATTCTGTACTCTGTATTCCGTATTTCGTATCGTTGGAAACTTGCGTCTAGTATTTTCTCGTAATTTTTCAGATGGCAAGTAAAAATTCATTGGAAACTTACCGCGTACACTGATATTATCTAACAGACGAAAAACTATCTTCCGATTTGGGTAAGAACCACGGTCTGACTGCCGACCGACTCGAAACTCGGTACGGTTTTGATTCTCCGGCGCCAACGGATGTCGCGAAGAAATCTTTTTTGACTATCAAATCATCGACCGAGTCTGTTTTACATTTATATACGATTCCGATTGCTTAACATTTATATATTCTACGTTCGATGCATGCACACTTGCGATCGTTATTACATTATCTCCGAAACATTTTCTTTGTGGAGTCTCGCGATACTCGAGAGAATACTTCTTAACTTGAATGGAAACGTTGCCGAGCGTCGAAACCTACCAAACTACTACCAGCCTCAGAGATCGCCGTCTCTTGGATACCTGATGCCTACCCGTCATTCCTCTGTTGCAGACTCAGGCGTTCCCCGATACCTGCTCTCGAATGCCCTTCGTTCGTTTTCACTTTTCGATGCATCTATGTATGCCTCTCTCACTCTCATCCTCAGCCGCTCATCGTCCCTCCTTTTCTTCTCTCTCGCTTTCTCTCTCCCGCAACCTCTGACCCTCGCACTCCAAAATCAGATTTGTACGTCTCGCATGTGTTATCGACAAACTACGCATAGTATACAGTCTACACATCTGGTTACGTATACCATCGTTAATGTTTCGAGTAGAGGCAATAACAAATGCGAAACAACAAGTGCCCGAAACAAGTGCTGGAAATATACAGCGAGATCTTGTAAGGAATCAAGTAATTTGTTGGTAGAACATTGAAAATCCGAGCGAATAATTTCCCATAAATACGACTCAACGAGTTGACAATGAATGAGTCGGTTGTTCGGTACGCGCGTCGTTCGCGTACTCGTTCAGATATTCAAACTATTTCTCGCACGTACGTGGAAAGTGCGACGAGGGCAATGCACCGAACACCACATATGGAATCCCAGGACGCCGGGATACCACTCGAAGGGTACCAACCCCAATCCTGCCGTGATACGTCTCCTTCCTTTTTCGGGCAAGCAGGGCTGTGTAATGGACATTCGAAACGAGACCAGAATAATATCGTAAATTCTCCTGTTTCTTTTGCGAAATATTTAATCGATTTCTCACCGCCCTCTCCCATCCGATTTCCGAATGTTTCTCCGCGAAACGCAATTCTCGTTGAAACTCGTCTACGCTACCCAACATCCTCTCGTACCGATGAATGAACCAACTTATCGGCTCTCACGGTAAATCCGTCCCTGTGAAATGCCGCGCAAGCTCCCGCGGTAATGAAATTATTTTTCATTCGACCTAAGGACGACTGCTTTGGGTTCGATGAAACGAATTTTTCTCCAAGGACCGCCGCTTCGCAGCACTCGAGACGCCACGCGAGTTATTCACCGGTAACGATAACCTTCTGTCGATCTCCTTTCAAGTATAACGAACTCTGCGGTGCGCCGATCGTCACGGACAAACGGTGCGACTTCTCGCGATCCTTCACCCCTTCACGCTTCGCCGCTGCATTACTACCGTCACTCATAATCTCCTTTCTTCCTCGCCTTACCAATTTACCACGACAAGTTTTTCAATTCAATTACACACTTTACATAGCTTTTTTCTTCCGCTTTATTTTCTCTCGCCGCTACACTCGGCCGTTTTTACAACATTTGAACGAACAAAACGACCTGTTTGAAACATCCACGGATAATATAAATCGGCCGCGGCGTTAGTTTCGATCCGCAAATATTAAATTGTCAGCGGATGTAAGGTCGAACGCGATTCTTTCGCGAAGGAGAAATCATGCTAGATGGCTGGAATGATTTATTTTCCATAGCTTGTGTTCTCTGTAATGTTTACCCCGAGTAAATGGACGGCAACCTACAGGGCAACGATCGGCTCGGGTCGTTGGCTGAATCCAGTTATCAAGGCTGGAATCGTTTTCTTTGGTCGCGAAAGACCGTCGTCGTATATCCTCGACCCGAAACGCGATCAACTCGCCACGTTTAACTTCCCTGCTTTTCTTCTCCTCGGGTTCACGCGACGCGAACGGAAATTTCAGTCTCGATCGTTCATTTTACATTCAACGAATAAATCTCCTCTTTCCCATACACAGCGTACAGAAGCTCTATTATTACGATACATTATAAGGGAACAGCGCAGAGACGACCGCGCGTCATGCGCGTACAGACACGCGCATGTGTGTAAACCTTTTCTAAACATTGAGATCGCCTTATAGACAAACATCGCGCTCGTTGGAAGATATTCTACTCGAGAAGAAATTCAGGATTCGAAAGTAAAATAAATGTATCAGAGTCTAAGGAAGGATCTCGTGTGTCGGTAATCAGGTCGACTTTAACGACGCGATCGGTTTTCTTTCTCCTTCTCAGTCTTTCTTACTTGTTACTCCTCTCTTCCCTCCACCTCACCCTAC